GGTTAATGCCGGTAGTCCTGCTTCCACGAGGAGTTGTTAGGTACTTTGACTTCAGCTACGCAATTCACGCAGCGTTGTTAGGTACTTTGACTTCAGCTACGCAATTAACGCAGCTGAAGTTGCGTATCTGAACTTGACCTTAGCCAGCTGAAGTTGCGTATCTGAATTTGACCTTAGTCCATAGTGTAGATATAACCTGTATGTTGTCACTTCCATTTTTTCCCCCAACAGAGTCCAGCGCTGTCTACATTATGGACTCTTTTGTGGGTACAGAGGCACTGGCAAAAATGTTTAGCGTGGCTGCAGTTAGGATGGTATAACTCTGCTTATATTAGTATAATTAATGCTGCTTTGGATTAAACAGCATTAACTGTAGTGGTCTAAATGCAGTTCCACCTAGATAGCTGTGTCTACGTTAAGGCTTTTATTAGCATCGCTGTGTTGGTTTAAAAAAAACCCAACCCAAATCCAGTCCCCTAACTGTTATGTCAGTGGAATTTTTTAGTATAGACCGGGCCTCAGTTAGTTTCCCTGGTGGTGTGGCTCTTTCCAGGGAAGGAGTACTCCGTGACACTTTTTTTAAAATTGACAAGTTGACTGTGTCATTTGCTTCAAATTATGCCCTTGGATATAATTTTGGCATCTCTGAAATGCAGCTGCATCTTTGGATTGCTGTGTGCTGTTCTAACCGAAGACAGCAAGTGTAGAATGTGTTCGGCTGGAGGAAAAAAACGGCATTGGACTAAATTTAGGTCAGTGCCTACCCTGTGGCCTGCTCAGTCCTTGATTTGGCAGCTGTGCTGTTGGCTTTTGGGCCATGCACACCTGTTAATTAAGCACCGCACTGAGACCCAGCAAACTCGTTTAACAGAAGCCACTGCACCGTGAGACCTCTCAGTTGGAACCTGTCAAGGTGCAGGTCACCCTTTGCTAATCCTCTGCCTGCTTTAATAAGCTTGCCGTTCAGACCTGCGCGTGCGATTTCTGCCAGCTGTTCAGAGTCACTTAGCAAGAGGCACAAGGTGGCTTATCACAGCAGCAATGGTTATAACAGAACCAGCTCTTTTGGGGTAGTGGTGGGCTTAGGGAAGATGCACTGGGAAGGGGCCGATTGTTTCAGCCTCTTTGCATTCTCCGCCTCTGTACATTTAAACCACGGATCAACACAAAAGGCATTTTGTCCAGGCGGAAGAAGTTGTGAAGTGCACCGCAGTCCACGCCAAGACTGGAAAGTCTCATGATCCAGCCGCCATTCCCACGGCTCCCCGCTGGGGTGGGGTTAACCCTTGCCTGGGTGGCTTCCTTGTCGCCGGTGTCGTGGCCAACAAACCACAACTGGGAGGGTGATGCTGGCCAGCCGGTCAAGAGATCACCGGCCAAAGCTTTACACAGTCTCAAATTCTCGCTAACAACAACAAAACCCCTTCCGCCATCGAATGCGGGAAGTCTCTACGTTTTATTTTTTAGGACCAGATCAAAACACACTTGCTCCAGAGAGGCTAGTCTTTCATGCCCTTTCGGCACTGACTCTTTTCAGAAACAGAATTCTGTCCAGTCCAAGTTGGGTTGCATGGATGTAAATTAGGCCAGTTCTGTCTATGTAGGTTCTCCGTAGGGTTGGAACTAGGGAGGTAAGCAACTAGCTGACTATCTGATAAGCATATGCTTATCGAGGGGGGGGGAGCTAGTACTGGAGGGAGCTGGCTTAAAAGCCAGTTTTCCCCCCAGCACCAACTCTGCCGGGGGGCGGGGGCCGGAGAGGCAGAGGTGTAGCAGGGGACCAGGCCTGAGTTGGGAATCAACCCTCCTGCTGCACTTCAGCCTTTTAAATGTATTAAGAGCCTAGTGGCTCTTAATATTTTTAAAAGGCAGAATCACAGTGGGGTTAGCTCCCGGGGCAGGAGCTAACGCCTCTGTGGCTCTGCGTTCCCCCCATCACCTAATTGACTCGTTGATGGAAATTCCATCGACTAGTCGATTAGCTGATTAAACGCCATGTAACATCTCTAGTTGGAACAGCTTTCCATTGCTAATAAACATACGTGTGAAAAGTAGCCTGTGAGGAAGGGAAGAGATTGAGGCTGAGAGGGGGTAGCTGTGATAGTCTGTAGCTGCAAGAATGAGGAGTCCTGTGGCACATTAAAGACTAACAGATTTATTGGGGCATCTGCGTTTGTGGGTAAAACCACTTTGCCAGATGCACAGATGAAGTAGTTTTTACCCAGGAAAGCTTGTGCCCAAATCAGCCGGTTGCTCTTTAAGATGCTACAGGATTTCTCGTTGTTTTGGGGAAAATGAGGCCCAGAGCAATGAGTGATTTGCCCAAGGTCACTCATGGAGTCTGTGGCAGAGCCAGGAATGGAACCTACATTTCCTGAGCCTCCATTCAGTGCCTTAACCACAAAATGTTCTTTCCTCCTTTATCTCTGCACTTCATCTCAAAAACCCAGAATCTAGGTCAAATTTTGCACTTAGTTGTAACCGTATTTCAGCCCTTGGAGCTGGTGTCAGTGTCTCCCAGGCCAGGAATATTTCAAACCCTGTAAAGCATCTGTGTTTGATATGCCGTGAGGCACCACAGCCCAGCTGATCCGTGCGAGTGGCTGCCCTTTAATAGACGTGCTGAAGGGCCCACTACAGCAGCTCCCGTAGAGTCGATGGAAGGACTCCCTGTTACTTCCTTGGATGGGCTCCATGCTCTGGGATTTTAAATCCAGTTCCTGCCTTGCTGCTGTTAAAACCGATCAGTTTCCTTGGGATGTAACCTTCAGAGAACATCTGCAGCAGTGGGCACTCTCAAAGGCCGGAAACTTCCATCTGGAACCAGTTTTATTTCGTCCCTGGCTGACCCGTGGGGCTGTCGCTTTGAGCTGGTCTGTTTGAAAAAGTGAAAAAGCAGCAGGATTTTTTTTTTTTAAAGGGGGGGTGGGGAGAGGGGAAAGTGAAGCAAAATCCCCTCCTGCTCTTTGGCTGAGCTCACGCGTGGAAAGTTTCAACTTGAAAGTGCTGCTGGGAAGGGTACGAGCAAGTGAAAAGTGAGCGTGGGCGAAGGCTGTTTTGCAACGTTCGCGACAGAAACCCATGGCTGCCTACCGCTGCTCTAACCCAGCACCATCGCTCGCTTCCCGGTGGAGCTAGCTCTGGTCCTGACTCGCCCGCCGATTCCGTGGTCCACCTTGCACGAGCCGCATCCCTTCTCTGTGCCTTCGTTCTGGCTGCTGGGGCAGGTTTGTGGTTCCTTCCGCGGGTGGGTAGGGGATTTGGAGAGCGATGCACAAAAGATGCTATTTGCAAAAATATTCTAATTCGCGGTGGGGTTACAGCATTTAGATACCCCATCTGAGATGGGAGCTTGGCTGGACCAGGCTTTGCACATGCAAGTTGAACCTCTCTAGTCCAGCATGCAGTGGTCCAGCAACATCCGTGGTCCAGCATGATTTTAGTTGGCCAGATGTCCACTTAGCAGAGGGGTTGCCAAGTTTCCCACAGTCTCATAAAGCTTGGTTACAACCACCAGTCCTGGCTGTCTGTGTTCGGTGCTGTTCTTTAGCTCTAATTTACCCCTAAATGTCACCTAAGAGCTGAGTAAGCAGTGGATGTGTTGGTGATGGTGCTAGATAATATTGTCCTCCCGAGGTCCAGAAAATTCTCTGGTTCAGTGCCAGTCAGGTCCTGAGGATGCCAGATTATAGAGGTTCAACCTGTGCCGGATTATAGAGGTTCAACCTGTGCCGGATTATAGAGGTTGCCAGATTATAGAGGTTCAACCTGTGCTGGATTATAGAGGATGCCAGATTATAGAGGTTCAACCTGTACTTAATGAGAGTCAGCTCCTGCCCCAAAGAGCTTACAGTCTTACCAGGCAGGAGAAGAGAGAGGAATTCTTATCCCTGTTTTACAGATGGGGAAACTGAGGTGCAGGGAGTTGAAGTGACTTGCTCCAGGTTGCCCAGCTGCTCTGTGGCAGAAGTTGCAATTGAACACGGGTTTCCTGATTCCCAGCCTCGTGCCCTAGCCCCCCCGACCAAACGACTGCCATGTTTCCTGCTGGCGGATCTGTGAGGGCTCCTGAATAGCGTTAGAAATAGGCATTTCGCTTGGAGAGGTGGGCGTGCCCGGTGACCGGTAGTCTCTGCGTAGAGCCGAGCAAGCCGTCAATGCTCCCTGAATCTTTGTGGTACTGCTCTTACCTTCCGGCTCCACGGGGATGCAGCTGATGAACGGGGACGGGGCGGGGCGACGTGGGCATAGCCGGAGGTTTTAAAGGGTCCTGTGTGAGCTAAGATGGGTGGGGAACCCCCCCTGCCAACTCCCGTCCCCTCCACTCAGTCTGCCGAGCTTCTGAAAGGCTGCCGGGGTGCCCAGCTGGCGCAGCAGGAGCACAGGCAGCGTGGGGGGGGGTCTGGGAAAGTGCCCGTCTGGACCCCTTGGTTAGACTCATAGACTCTTAGACTTTAAGGTCAGAAGGGGCCATTATGATCATCTAGTCTGACCCCCTGCACAGTGCAGGCCACAGAATCTCACCCACCCCTCCCAGAATAATCCTCTCACTTATATCTCAGATATTGAAGCCTTCAAATACTTTGAAGACCCCAAGATGCAGAGAATCCTCCAGCTGTGATCTGTGCCCCATGCTACAGAGGAAGGCGAAAAACCTCCAGGGCCTCTGCCAATCTACCCTGGAGGAAAATTCCTTCCCGACCCCAAATATGGTGATCAGCTAAACCCTGAGCATGTGGGCAAGACTCACCAGCCAGTGATGCAGGCGACGGAGGGACGAAGAGGGGGGGACTATGCCCAGCACTCTCTTGGCTATGGAATGGGGGTCGCTACTTAGATGAACAGAGTGTACCTTGGCCCCCAGGGAGGATGGATGGGCCAGGGGGTAGTACAGGGGGCTGGGGATGTGGGAGGGTTGGGTTCAGTTCTTGGCACTGCCAAAGGCTTCCTGCGTGACCTTGGGCAACTCCTTTCTGGCCCTGCAGTGGGGCTGGCGCCAGCCTCTCTCTCTAGCCTTGGCCACGAGGTGCTCTCGGGGGCCAGATGGAGCCTGGCTGGAGCGGGGTTTACAGACGCAAGGGGGATTCAGTCTGGCTATTACCGGAGCTCGACTAGGGCACTGCGCTTATTTCAGCTGGGTTACGGAGAACCGGCCCCCACGGTTCTGCGGCGCAGACCTCAGCTGCTCCCCAGCACCGGGGGGCTGCCGTGTGGTGGGCGGCTGGGAGCCAGGGAAGCCCCAGGAACACCACGGTCTGTCTGTCCGGCAGCCTCGACAATGTCTGTGGCACCTAAGTCCTGCCCCCTTTTCTCCCACAAGCAACCCTCCCAATTCCACAAGCATTGAAGTCCTTGCTGTCCTCGGATCTCTGACCTCAGCTATGTCGGGCCTTGGGTGGCCTCTTGGGAAGGTCCTGTTATTCCCCCATTCTCCAGTGCCGTGTCCGCAGGTGCCCTTCCCCCGGGGCGGGGCGGGTGTGCATGGGCACCCAGGGCCTCGCTAGCACTGCTTCTCCTTCCCCAGCAAGGCGTGTGCAGATTGTGCTGTGGACTTGGCTCTGTCTGTTTTCCAAGTGCTTCTCAGGCTGTGGGCGACCGAGCAGGGGGTTTCTCTGAGGGCGCCTCCATCACCGGCCGGAGAACAGAGAGGGCTGTGACCATAGAAGTGCTCAGTGCGGACTGATGTGGGGGCGCAGGGTGTGGGGCACGTAGATTGCCTGATGTAAAGGCCAAGAGACCAGAAGTCAGTCCCGTGTTAGGAGAGTCTTTATACGCGTCGACTGCCTTTTCGCGAGGAAGGGCTCAGGAGCTGATGGTGCTTTTTCTCGTCTCTCCCCAGCCCTTGGTGTTGAAAATGGCCGGCGGCGTGGACGGCCCCATCGGGATCCCGTTCCCCGACCATAGCAGCGACATCCTGAGCAGCCTGAACGAGCAGCGGAACAACGGGCTGCTGTGCGACGTGGTGATCTTGGTGGAAGGGCAGGAGTTCCCCACCCACCGCTCTGTCCTGGCGGCCTGCAGCCAGTACTTCAAGAAGCTCTTCACCTCAGGGTTAGTGGTGGACCAGCAAAATGTATACGAGATAGACTTTGTGAGCGCGGAGGCCCTGGCGGCGCTGCTGGAGTTCGCTTACACCGCGACCCTTACCGTAAGCACTTCGAACGTCAACGAGATCCTCAACGCCGCCAAGCTGCTGGAGATCCAGGCGGTGACGGAGGTGTGCACGGATCTCCTGGACAGGAAGATTCTGGCCAAAAATGACCAGATGGATTTAGTAGATCAAATTGATCAAAGGAACCATCTCAGAGCAAAAGAGTACCTGGAGTTCTTCCAGAGCAACCCTATCAACGGCCACCAAGGCAACTTTCCGTGGACCAACCAAGACTTGAGAGACCTTCAGCGACTGAACTTCCCAGGCCAAGAGGATGAGGAGGAGCCGGACTGCAATGGCATGGACTTCTACTCGCAAGCCCCCACAAGCGAAAGACCAAAGGCGAACGACGGGGACCCCGACAGCAACCATGCCATGTGGCTGGACCGAGAGGAAGAGGAGCCCGCGGGAGCCTTATTCCCACCTTCCCAGAATGGACATTACAGCGGACACAGCCTGGCAGCGCAAGGCGAAGAGGAGGCAACGCCGGGGGGTCACCTGGACCAGCAGGAAGCCAGCAACTCTCCCAGCTTCGTTCCTGGGGGAGCGGAGGCCGAGGAGGCGGAGTCCCGAGAAGTGGACGGCCTGGCCGCCAGCGCCCTGCTGCAGCAGATGATCAGCTCGGTGGGAAGGCAGCAGCTGGGCGAGGAGGACCAGAAGGACGACGACGGGGTGATGGATTATTACTTGAAATACTTCAGCAGCTCTCACGAGGGCGACGTGTATCCGTCCTGGTCCCAGAAGGTGGAGAAGAAGATCAGGGCAAAAGCATTCCAGAAGTGCCCCATCTGTGACAAGGTGATCCAAGGGGCCGGCAAGCTGCCCCGTCACATCCGCACCCACACGGGCGAGAAACCCTACGAGTGCAACATCTGCAAAGTCCGATTCACCAGGTGAGGGGCAGAGGATGGGAGCTGCGCGGGGCGGGGGCGGGCGGGGGACGGATCAGCCTTATGCAATCCCCCTGGCCAGCACCGAGTCATTTCCTAGTGGTGTAATTTCCTAGCACGTAATTTTTTTGAGGTGCTTGGTTGGAGACGCCCTGACTTAGAAAGTGCTGCGCTAGCCACCCCTCTGGAAATTGGGGGTCCTTTTTATTTGCCCTGAATCTCTGTCATTGGTGGAAATCTTGGCTATGCCCAGGTCTTGTCAAGGGGAGCACTGAGAGATGGGCCCCTTAGGGTGTGTCTACAAGGGATGTTATTGAATAGGGGGGGTCAGTCGATTAACCTCATGAATTATTATCAGTTAGTCGGCTTTTCTATAGTCCCCGGGCAGCCCCTCTCCGGGGGGGGGAGTGATCTGAGCTCCTGGACCTGGCTATCCGCCTACCTGGCTCCTAATACATGTGAAATGCAGATCCACAGCGGGGCAAGCCAGGACTGAGCCGGGCTGCTGGCCAGCCTGCTAAAAGGTGTACTGGCCAGGGGCGGGCAGGATGCGTGTAGTCCATAGCATTAACCGATCAGTTCATGGACTGCACTGTTGCAGCCCCAGCGTCTACCCTGCATCCTAAACTCCAAATAAGAGACGCCGTTTGCGCGATGCAAATTGTGGGTGTCATTTGGATTTTATTTCGAAATAGGCTGTTTCGAAACATGGCGCGACTGCCCGGTGCCAAATTTCCAAGTAAAGCGTTGTTTCCCTTAACCCTCGTGCAAAGAGGTTCACCAGGATGGTGAACTAGTGAGCCCGTTATTTTGAAAATATTTCGAAATAACGGGCGCGTTCCTTGGATGCCGGGTAGCTATTTCGCTATCCCAAAATAGCGGCGCAGTGTAGACATAATCTCAGGGACTTCAGCAGTTTCCCCGCCTGTATTATTTCATCATTTCTTTGACCGGTGGGCTGGTCAGTGTAGATGTCCCTTTAGATAAGGCCCCATCTTGAGACCGAAACATCCGAAGCCCGTAGAATTGGAGGCAGAATTTGGCCTGTTCTTTGCCTCTCTTGCTACACAGCACCCTGAGCAGAGCTGCTGCTGCATGCATCCGGTGAGGCTGGAACGGTGAGAAAGGGGTGGGGACTGTTTCTTGCTCCTCCCACCGTTTCCTCCTATTTAAAACAACAAACCAACCCCACAACTCTGTGTGGTTCCCCAAGGGCATGGTTGTTTCGTCCCCGCGCCTAATCAGGTCCCGTCTGTGCTTCCCTCTGCCGGGGAGGGCCAAAGAAAGGGGGTATTGTTCGAGTCCCTCGGCTCTGCTTTAGTCCACGTGTTACAGAGAGGCCTCCTCTTCTCTGTCTCCACGTCTGATGGCTGCAGCAGGCCGGGCTTCCGCCCCGATCTCGCCGCCCTGTGCCAAGGGCTCGTGTGGGCTGACAAAGAAGCCAAACAGTCCAGCCCAAGCCTTCTGCGTGCGTGAATAGTCCCGACTCGAGAGCACCCGGCCGGCCCGGCTCTGCTTTAGTCCACGTGTTACAGAGAGGCCTCCTCTTCTCTGTCTCCACGTCTGATGGCTGCAGCAGGCCGGGCTTCCGCCCCGATCTCGCCGCCCTGTGCCAAGGGCTCGTGTGGGCTGACAAAGAAGCCAAACAGTCCAGCCCAAGCCTTCTGCGTGCGTGAATAGTCCCGACTCGAGAGCACCCGGCCGGCCCCCCTCCCAGCGGCGGTCCCCGGGGGGGGGGGAGACCCGGCCCCCCCCCGGGAC